TTTCTTTAAAACAATTTCCAAGTTTTGTTAGCTCCTAATAGGCAGTCTTTTTTTGTTTTGTACTGCTGGTACGTATTCTGAGACTATTTTCTTTACTAAGCTGTTCTATTCACAAGAGGTAGCATCTCTCTTTTGAATTTGTGAGGGTATTGTACCACTGGCTATAACTAAAGGAGCCCGAACCATCATTCTTAATAAACCCTTATGCTTGAAAATTATCACTTTGCTTTATTTTAGGTCTATACCCTATGGATGTCATCAGCCTCTTCCCATGCTCTGCACTTCAGGAATGGTGAACACATTAATACTAAGCAAAAATACTATGGACACAAAAATACTAAGCCTAGCTTGGATTTTCAGGGCTGTGTGCAACTACAGAAAGTTTCAAAGAGCTCTAGGAGATGGAACTATACTGAAGAACTAACTAGTCCCATAAGGCTCAGGCTGACAAATGCACAAACAAACTTCACAGGAGCTGCTAGTCTGTGCTTCCAGGCTTGAGCTTTCAGTACAGTTTCTCTTGGTGACTCATTTTGTCTGCACAAACCTCCAAAGACGTTGTGCTACCACTACCCTTTCCTTTCTTACACATCCTGGTGTAAGGAGTCTCTTTAAACTTAGACCATTTTAGTCAAAGGGATGCTCCATAGCTTTTGGCCCTTTGATCTCACAGGAAATCAACATTTTTCTCTTCTGACAATGCTATGAGGAAGCTTTGCAGATTATGAAGGAAGACATGTTCCTCAAGGAAGCCCAAGCTACTGTACAGGCAAGAAACCCACCAAAGAAGGAGAATCTATTAGCTCAAAGCCAGACCTAGTGGCTGGCCTTCCATGGTACTTCCCTGAACCCCTTACAGGTTCATGAGAGGTCCCTTAAAGCACCAGAGAGTATTCCTGGTGTTCAAAGCTTCAAGTGCTACTTCAAGCCTGGAAACAACGTTAATCTTCCCAATAAGGATCAGATGGAGGTTCCTCCAGGCTGACAGAGGTAAGAGCTCCTGGGCAAGATACCCTGCTCCTACTGGCTGGGCAAAGCCCGTGCCCATGGAGAAGTGCCCACTTAGTCTCTCCTAGCTCCACGTGAAATCAGGAAGGAGAGGTGGAGCTGTTTTAGTTGGGGTATGAAACAAGCACAGGCCATAATGATATTTATCTGTTGCTCTCGTTACTGTTATTATTCCTGGCATAATTAATGGAATTTCACAGGAAAGTATGACAAGATTCTGGGGACAGATGCTTTTCTTTTTGAATGTGAACTGCTATTCAGTGTTCAGAGACTTAATGGAAGTTTCCTTCAGAAAGAAAAAACAATGTTAAACTTAGATACTTGTCTGACTTTTGTTCCTTTAATGTACAAAGACTAAAACCAAAGCTATCAAAAAACAATCTTATTCTCAATTTTTAAATCCTTGCAGTGAAATTGCCATGGAAAGATGTCTCTGACTATTGACTTTTTTTGAGGCTACATTTCTAATATTTGCTGCGGCTATTTGCTTGCTTTTCTGATGTTTTTGTGTCAGCCTGTGATGGTTGTGTAGTTTCTTTTCACATTAACCGCCATCACATGGTGTCCGCACCTCTGCATTTTTATGAAGCCCAAAAACCCCATTTTTTATCTGGGACATTTACAATAATGTATATTGCTATGCTCTTGGCAATGGCTCTTTTTTTCAGCTGTCTAATTCCATGAAGGAGCTTTACTGTTTCCTATATTTTATTATTAGTTAAATGCAGCTGTTACAAAAAACTCCTTCAAGGAGATTTTGTCCAAGCCTTAGTATAATGCACCCTCACCCTCACTAAAACCATCATTCAGAATGAAATTCTGACTTTGAGATTTGATGTTTCCAAGGGTTTGAGGAGCTCAGAAAAAATCTTTTTGCATTAGTTGGGTATATCAAAGGTGAAAGATCAGACTGTGGAGTCAGAAATGTCGTTCTTCTACAAAAAGAGCTATAAAACCAGGTCAAAACACTGTATCATGTGCAAGGCAGGCATTACAGCTGGTCTGTGAATTGCAGACACAGAGCTGGGTTCAGCACCTTGGTTTGTTCCTCTCATGACCATGGAGACTCTTATCTTCAACTGGGCTTCTTCCTCCATGAACCAACCCATCAGCACATCAGTCTCAGCTCACAGCTAGGCATGCCTGGCTGTAATTTCAAACAGCAGTGCTCTCTGATGTCCTTTGCATCTCATCTGCCTGCCTGGATGTCTCTTGGACATCACAGAGCATCACTGCACCTTGGCCCTGGAATGCTACACCAGGAGGAATGTCCCCAGAAATATCTGGGGAAAAGTGTGTTTAGGACTGTCTGTGGGACCAGGAGAGTTGTGTCTCTAAGGGCAGAAACAGTGGGAACATGTGAAGGATGATTTGTCAAGTCCAACATAAAGACTCATGCATGGAAAGGATGAAAAGGCACCAGATTTCCCTCCCAACAACACAGAGGTGAGCTCCACCAAGGACTATTCCCCTCCTCTGTCCCTGCTAACAGAAAGATGGCTGGATTTACGCAGTCCTGAGAAATGGAATGGGAAGGTTTAAAATTCCCATCTCCATCCTGAAATATTGGAGCTCTCTTCACAGCTCTCCAGACTAGAGTAGGGTCTTTTCTTTATGATTTGTATAACCTCATATTTCATAAAGCAAGCCCAAAAAGTGAGATGGACTGGAGATTGGAGGGCAGGGGAGAGTGGTGATGTCAGCAGGAGTTCCTTGCTGCAAATGCAAAGGGTAGGTCACTGCCAAGGCAGCACAGTGCTGGTCCATTGCTGAGCTAAAATGCCATGTTCTCCTTGTCCCCCTTCTCTCATGGATGACCTTGTCTTACAAAGGTCATCCCAACAATCAAAACATAAACATGCATTGGGAAACCTGAGAGAAGTTAATAGTGTTCTGTCCCCAGGTAGCTGCAGCACATGTGTGCTGCTCTTAAGAGCTGCCAGTCACATTTGGAAGGAGAAAAATCACTCTGCAGAGGCAACCAAATCCAGCATGGAGCAAGACATTTATATTCAGAGGCTGAGAGCAAAGCCATATACAATGTATTCAGTGGCAGAGATGCATCACTGACAGAAATGATCTGAGAAATTATTTTATAGAAGTGTCATTCTCTATTGTAAATAATGTAAATACTGCAAAATAGTGTAGATTTGTTTGCATGTGTACATGCACAAAGGCTGCTATTGAAAAAACTTCTACATTTTGACACTAACTGCAGTTACATTAAAAAGTGCTATTTTCACCATAGGACCCTTGCTTAGAACCTTGTCAGAGAAGAAACTATTCTGTATTTTGCTTTAGCTACACTATCCTGCATCTACTGGGAAGGATGTCTACTGTCCATGTGCAGGGCTGTGTTCAACTTGCCTTCCTGGGGCTCTGCTCTGACACTTCTCCTCTGAAGTGAATCTGTCACAAACATGCATCCTTAAGGCTTCCCAAGCAGGGCTCCAATATTATTTAATTTTTATCTAACTAAGGCTCCATTCCTGAGAATACTAAGTATTATGTAGACCTTTTTGTCCACATAATAATTATGTGTAATTATGTTTTTGTTGTTGCTGCTGTTGTTGTTATTTTTCCATAAGACTGGTGGGAAAAAAAGAACATGATGCTGTTTTATGGAGTGTAAACTAAAGTACATACACTGTGTAAACCCATTAAGAAAGTGCAGACAGCCAACATTTGACATTTCCTAAATTTTTCTCAATTAAAATCACAGCCATTTCATGTTGTTTAATTATTTTAATGTCATTTTAGAAAGGGTGACAAATAGAGTCATTTGACATGCCACATTCCTATGGCCAAGCCAAGTTGCTTCTGCTTAAATAGCTGCAGCAGAAAATAATGGATTATTGAAAACAGTTTTAACAGAACTAACATAATTAATTTAGTCATATCCAGCTAAGGGAGGGAGTTAAGGAGAAACTGATGTTTGCAGTTTAGGCATGCATAATTTAGAAGGAAAGCAATCTCCTAGCAAAAAGTAAATTAAGGTTAGTGAGCCAGGCCTATTATTAGACTTTGCTTAAATAGCTCGTGTACACGGCTATTGGAGTATATAGTCAACAACTGAAAACACTTAAGAGAACAGAGCCTCTCAGGGGTCCTGAGGTGCAGTGAAGGCTCCAATTCACATTGCACCCTGCCCATAAAAAGATGAAATCTGTGCTGCAGTATTTACGGTATCTTTTTAGAAACCGATCGTAACTGATGGAATACAAAAACATGGTGGTGAAATTGCAAATAAATAGGTATTGAAGGTGCAGATACATGTTTCTGCAGTGAACTTTCAAGTTAATTTAAGCAGAGTTGATTTTTTTCTCACCTGTTAGCAGTTAAAGACTGTAACTCTATCCATGGCTCTGCAGGGCACCCACAAAATTGATCAATTTGTGAGAGGTGAACTCTTCACTTGAGCTATGGTTACTGAAAACCATCTGCTGCTTTCAGGGGAATCAAAGTTGCTGATGGCAATACAAACACAGTAAAAGCATCCTGGGTGTTCTGAGGGGATATCATGCAGCAGGAACCAACTCATCATTGAACAGGAGCTCCCACAAATGTATGTCTGTGAGTTAATGTGTTTAAAGGGGTTAGCCAGGTTAGCCAGTGTGTCCCCCAAACAGCCTGAATTTACTGAACTTATTCACTTTAAATTAATTTTGAAAGGGTCACAGCAGTCATATAATTTAGTTTCTGCATAGTTCAGTATCATGTGGGAAATAATATACAGGCCCATTTTGGGTTGCAAGGGTGTGTTAGCATACAGAGAGAGCAACTAATCAGGAATGCTACCATTTTATGTAGTTCCTGGACTGGCTGATTGGCATTTAGTCAGCTCATATCTTCAGCAAAATAAGATCAAAGCTGTTCACACCCTTCTTTGCATTGGAAGTGATCTGTCACATCCACATACTGAAACATCAGATATAACAGAAAATGTTCATATGGTATTTGACTTTGGATTCTCCGAATTTCCTGTTTATCTAATAATTTTCCTTCAGAATGGAAGGTTAGAAAAAGTAAGAATCGAGAAACAGGAGCTGTTAGTGACTTGGTGTCTGAGACACAAGTTTGAGAATGGCCACATCTGTAAATGGGAAGACTTCTTGCTTTGAAACTTTAATTTCCATAAGCAACAAGCAGAGTTGCTGTTCACAAAGCAATTACCATGGCTTCAAACTGCAGATCTGGAAAACTGTTTCAAAATGTTAAATAGATTTCTGCTTCTTTGCAGGATCGCAGTATGGATTTGGCTACTTCATGATAACCATCATCCTGGATCCTGTGGTTAGGCATGTTGTTTCTCTAAGGAACTTGATGGGTATAGCACCTTTCAGAAGGAAATTAACTTTTAGATGGAAGGGGAATTGTGACAACCTTTACCTGGAAAAGTTTAAGCCACAGATGAGCATTAAAATTTGCTGTGTTTTCTCTGACCTGAATCAATGCCTGATGTGAAGATGCTTCTGCTGCAACCAATGGTGGTCAAAACAAAGAGAAGCCTTAACACAGCAGCCGGAGGAACATTTCTGCTTTTCCTCAGAGAAAGTCAACAAGTTCCACATCTACATTTTTAGCCTTTGATCCTACAGTGCTTGAATCCAACTAGCATGGGTGTCAGGAAAGATCCTCATGCTATTTCTTGTATTTTTTTCCACAGCCAGCCATGGCTGAGTGTGGGGTAGTGGCAGAGTCACACCTTTAGATTGGTCAGCTACTGCAAATTTTCACCTCAACCATCAGGTGAGTGTTTTTAAAGATATTTTTTTCTTGTTCATGTAATTTTATGTGCTGGCATTTGGAGGAGAGCAAGGTTCTGTTTTATTCCTGTTTATCTCACTCTTGAGTTTCAGAAGCATGTTGTTTGTAAGATGTCATTTCACATCTCAGTTGTGAGGACATTAATGTAAAGCCACATTTTGCATTTGTTTATCCTCTGCAGTTCTGGTGGCTTCACTGGGGATTTGATGGAGGAAATAAGGTCGGGATGCAGCTCTTTGAGCCCAATCCTGCAGAATTTGTTCTGGCAAAAAAAGCTTGTGGGCTTCCTCCTCCTAATACTCCATGCAATGGAAGGAAACATATGCTCCGCCAAGTGACCATGGAAACTGGTGCCTTGGTTTCCAAGGTGATTTTCTGGCAAGTGGCCGAAGGAGGAAGCGTTAACAAAACAGGATCCTGGGCAGCAGAAAGCATCCACATTCCTGGCGATGCAGCAGCCTGCACTGAGGAGGACAAAGCCACAGAGACAAACAGAAAACTCCTCATTTTAAAATCACCAAAGGTGTCAAACACCTGGCAAAGCATGGGTAACTTGGTCTGTGGTCCCAGCTTCGTCACATATCTATCTGTTTCCTTTTCTGCTTCTACCTGGGGAATGAGATCAGTCTTACCCAACTAAGACCTTAAGGCTCATATAATCTCTCTTTCAATAGAAAACAAGAAAAGCAAAATAACCCAAGGAGAGAAAAAAGAAGCTGCTTAAAACTGACTCATACCTTGAGGTAAGGAAATTCTCACACTCTGTGTATATCTATATATATATATATCTATATCTATATATATGTATGTATATATGTGTGTGTATATATATATATAGATACATATTTAATGTTTCATAGTAAATAAGAGTGGTTTTCTTTCTTGGCATTTGCAAGACATGGAAGACATGAAGAATAGAGATATATCCATTTCTCTTTAAAGTGCAATAAAGATACTTTGCAGAGCATGTGGGTAATCCTCCTGGGGTTCCATACCAGCATACAGCAAAACCCTTTCTTCACATTCTTCAGGAGGACCAAAACTCTCCTTGTTTGCCTGTCAGTGTAATTCCTCCTTGGAGTAAATTTGAAATACAGTGATGTGCAACATGACATTACAGAGTGGAAGAAGAGGAAGGACTAGTGACAAGATCACTTCCTTTTGCAGCAGAGGGGAAGAGGAGTTGATACAGGAGACACATGAGCTCCTCCAAGTCCTGTGCAAGCATTACAGCCTGCCACAGAATGCTCTCACATCATCAATTGTGGAGTCTACTGATTTATACCACTTACATGACCACAAGCCAGTACAGACATAACATTTAACAGTGGAACAACCCAGAAGCAGCAGTGTTACTGAAGATTAGATGAAAATTAAAACCATCCCTAGCAGAAGGGCAACCCATCCTGATAGAAGAAGTCTGATTGGAAAATAAAGGAAAGCCTTTTAAGTGTTAAGTGTACAATTATACTCATTCTTCAGCTATAAGTAAAGCCTTATGAAGTTTGTTTTCCAGGTTTTCATTAATGTCAGAAGGTCCTGTTCTATCCCTGCAGGAAACAGTTATTGACAAGTTATTTTAAGGATGTTTCATGGCCACAGGATAGAACCAAATTATCTTTAAAATGCTGGGAAGAATTTTGACATTAAGTCACTTACCTAATAGTGGAATTTATTTCAGAATTCCTCTTTCTTGCTCTCTCTTCAACTTTTAATGGAAAATCTGTGCTTGCAGGTGGTGGGGGAGATGTACAGCAGCAGCCATTGAAAGCACTTTGCTTACTACAAATAGAGAGCTTTACTGAAAGCATGCAGAAGTAGCACTTGCTTATCCCACTGGAACTGCAGTTAAAATGAACATTGGCTGAAGTGCTGGGTGCATCAGCCACCACAGTAAGGGGAGATGATGACAATGAGGGCAGAGGGTGTACCCTGCACAGGTAACAGCCAAGACAAGCCCTTCTGACTTTATCATTGATAAACTCCCACATGCATATTTGTCACCAGATAAGTTCAGGTTTATCCAGAAAAAATATCTATTCCACTGATAATGGAATGGTAAGTTTGTGACACACATTGCTGAGTGGGTTCTACAGAGTGGATCTTTCTCAGTTGCTCGGGGAAGATTGTCTGAGTAAGCCAGCATGGAAATAGAAAGGTTAAAAAAGTATTTTATTAAAAATAAAATATCATAGCTTCTATTACCAAACGTCTGGAAACATTCTCTTTTTTTAATGTGTGTTTTTGTGGCAACTGCAGAAAAAACCTGTAGTATTACCACAATATTATCGTCACTTCAACTCTTCCAGTAAGTTTTATCTCCTTATGTTCAAAAATTCACAAATTTTATCTTTCCAGGACATACAGCTCTTATTTCAAATCAGAAAAACTGTTGAAGACTTTATTGTATATTTTTTGTAGTCTGAACATTCAGCTATGGTTGTGTAATTTCTGTGTTGGCCTAGATCAAACATTTTTCCCAAGTAACTGAGAAAGTGACACTGTAAAAAACACTTAGCTACAAGTGTGGCAAATTATTTATCCTTTACTTACCCAACCAGAATGTACCTGCACTTGGACACAGTAAAGATGCACAGCATTATTCAAATTACTTTAACCATTTCAGTGGAGTTTGGGTCAGTTAGTGGGGCTCAGGTCAGGGCTAAATGCAGCTCTTTGCATTTTCTCAGAGCACAAAGACAAAACCTGTTGGCTGCCCTACAGGTGTAGGCCACAACTCCCCCAGCAGTCAGACTGGAGAGGTCAGTGCTGCCCAGGTACCACAGCCAGCTCAGAGCAGCTCAGTGCATCCCCAGAACCTGCAGAGGTCCCAGCCCTGGCTTTGAAAGGCCTGACCATGTTAGTCACAGCTCAACCTGGACTAACCAACACACGTGGGTGTTTCCTGGGACTCAGAGATATCCAGACAGACTTGGGACATTTAAACAATTTTTTTTTTGCAAGTAGAGTTAAAATATCATAAAACTAGAACAGCATACAACCAAGAAAATGACTGAATGTTATTCTTCATAATTCACCTTTTGAAATAACTTCATTATCTCCCTGAAGTTTAAATATTTTGAACTATATGAGTTCAGATATTTGTGTTACAAAAATAACAGTACTTGAACTCTTAGCCTATTATTCTAATACACATATTGGACATGTACATACCTTTGCTAAGAATTAAAAGCTTGGTATTAAACAGGTTAGAAATATCAGACAAAAGGTTTCCCAGATGATTACCACATCTACTTACCATACTAAGGACAGCTAGAGAAAGAAGGCAAAAGGAATTCACAGGTAGCAGTCAGCAGAAGACTTGGCAGCCCTTACGAGACTTCTGCATCAAGTAATTACATCACTGGTCTGAGATACATCATTTATATCCTCTTTTATGCATTGTAGCTCATATTTCCTTGGTAATTGTTATTACCAATTCACTTCAATAGAGGGCAAAAGAGACTGAAGTTGTCATCTCAGACTAGAGGCTGCATGCAAGAGTGAGAATTAAGAAATCTGTGAGGATTACATGCAATTGGAAACATAACCGAGGTAAAAGAAAAATACTAGAGCTGTACAGAAATTGGGTAATTTAATTTCCCTTAATGATTCACTGCTCTCCCTATCTGTGAATCAGACTGAAATAAACATAAGAGCTTGATGAAACAAAAATATCTCAAAACTCTTCACAGTCATTTCTCTCTAGGCTTGAACAGATTGCAAGCACCAACTTAACAATACAGGAAAAATATATGGTGCATTGAACTGGAAGAAGTTTCCTCTACATTTTCTTTTACTGACTGTTAATGCAGCAAATTTGTGAATTTGGTGCACTTAAGGGAATTTCTTGTGGGGAAATACCATTTTATTAAGTGCATATTATATTTATATATGTATTATTTCTTTAGTTAGTTTTAATCTTCTCTCTGATTTTGTTCTTCCATTACAGCAGGGGCTTTGCATTTCAAATGATCTCTTTTCTCTTACTGAGTTTCAAAGTTTGAGTAATGGTGCTAAAGTCCTCTGCTTTCAGACACAAAGGCACAATATCCCAGCAGTTATTAAAAAGTCTAATGTTTTATGAAATGTGAAATAATAGACTTTGTTTGGTCCCTAGGATAATTATTTATTTCATTCCAACTGAGAATGCAGAATAGAAAGACAGCTGTGTTCTCTGCTCTGCAATGAATCCCACAGTGATGAACCACTCCAACTCCTGTATCCTTAAAGAAATCCTCACACAGTGATACTTGTCTCCTGCTCTCTTTCCCAAATTTCATGTGCACTAATACAATATTCCAGCGTGGCCCTAATATCTTTCAATAATTGATAGCTTTCCCACAAAACTTCCTGCAAGGTTTTTTTTTGGAGCACACCTGACCTACTAGTCCTCAAATCTTCTGACTGTTTGCTTTCTACATGCACATGGACTTTATTCTGCTAGGCTTATGGTTTAGGCCATATGAATTTTGTCCCCCAGCATTTTGCTGATACCAAGAAAAACACTCATATTCAAAATTATCTTGAAAAATGAGAAAGAAATTATCAAATGAGGAAATACAAAAACAAGGGTAAAAATGTTCACTTAGGAACAGAAAATCAACTACAGAAATACAAAATGGGAAACTGCCAGACAAATTGATCTAAGACTTATTGCACAATGCAATAGAAATATGAGTTGACAAGTATGGAAAGACAAAAATTAAAATTGTTGCTGTGGGCATGTTAGAACGAAAATCATGTCCAAAATGGTAGAGCAATAGTGTTCACTGTGGTGAGTTCTTACTTGGAATACAGTACTTGTTGTTGAGCACAGTACATTAAAATAAAGGGTGAGGCAATGAAACAAAGTGTACAGAGGTATTGACAGGTAGTGGAAATATTAAGAGGGCAGAAATGAAGGATAAGTGGATATAACTGCATAAGCATGATAAAAATGAACTATATTCTATTAAAAAATGAACTATATTTCTATTAAAGGAAGGGCATAGTCCCCAACAGAAAGGGGGACTGTTTCCTGCATTTACCATTCCAGTCAAATGAGACCACAGATTGCCTGTCAGCAGACGACTCTACCTCTAACAAAAGAAAGTAATATCACATCAGATCAAATACACCATTGCTTTTATTTCCAGCCCATCTATAACACCGACTCTGGCCTTAAGGAACTCAGGCCAGACTTGCCTAAAATTTATGGAGGTGGAAATAAGCAGAAGTACAATGCAAAAGAATGATGTCATAGTGATTTTTGGTTCTTGGGTACAAAACATCAGTCCAAAAATTAGTTTATCATTGCTCAGGGGAGATGATGAGGACCTGATACCTGGCATCCCTTCACAGAACCACAGAATGGCTGAGGTTGGAAGTGACCTCTGCAGGTCATCTTGTCCATGCCCCTTGCTACAGGAAGACCACCTGTGCTGTGTGCAGGTGACTTTTGAGTATGCCCAAGGATGGAGCTCCATGGCCCCCTGGTCCTCTGTGTTGTACACAAGTGACCCTGCCCAGACCACCTGAACATTTGCTTCTTGGTTCTTGTAATTGTGTGGATGTGAGAGTGTAAAGGAATGCAATCATTGAGAAAAGGACTGTGAGTGGGTAAAGGCAATGTACTTAAAAGCTTTTGTAAAATGATATCACCTACTCCTACCACAGATTCTCACACTGCATTTTTTACACTAACTTGCAACAAGAGAGAAAAGCACCAACAGTGATTTATGCTGGAAGGATGCAAAACCTGGATTTGTGTAATCTGGGTGAGAAAAGTTCAGAGGCAATAAGGTGATAGCTTTCCACATGTAATATGTCATTATCAAGAGAACAACAACCAGCTGCACTCACAGATGCTGGGAGAAGGACAAGAAGAAAATTTCAAAAGCTGCAAAATTCTTTTGGCTGTGCACCAACAGGAGTGAAACTGGGGGCCTCGTGGACTCCCCACCAGACAATGTGAAGCCTGTGATGGCAAATGTTTGTCACCAGTGTCTGGATATGTTCAAACCTGCCTTTCTGCTGGGGGCTGGACCAGAGCAGTGACTGACAGCAAGCTTCTGATGCTCAGTGCCAGATCCTTTGTCAAAGGCCCTGTGACTCAGAGCTCCTGGTGCCAGCCCAGATCCACGCCAGCTAAAGACTTGGTGCCTGCGCCAGAATTTTGTCACTACTGGGCTAAACAATCTCCTTTACTCTCTTCCTGACCTATATTGTTACAGTTGCTATGAAACCCTTACCCATGGAAGCAATTTTTCCACTGGCTCCACGAACTGTCTCTGTTTCTCACCACCAGGAAGTTTTATTTCTTCAATAAAATTGAATACAGTCATGTTTGAGCTGGGGTGGGAATTACTTAGCCCAACTTTTTCATTTCAGATGACTTTTGAAAAACTTGGCTACAGTTAACCCAACTGCAATTCTTTGAGTTGATCTTTTGCTATTATCCATCTGACAAAGAGATGGCAGCAGGGTGGTGCTGTTGCATTTTTGTCTTCATTTACTTTTTTTTTTTTAATCTGTTTTTTAGGAGTAACAAAACTGAGCTTCTGAAGCTTAGGTGTTTTACCAAAACTAAACATAGAAATATTTTCATCTGGTACAAAGTAAAAAAACAAATAGCTATGTATTTCCCAACATACATGCTTTTAATGTGAATTTTGCACACAATATTCCCCTTGTTTGTTAAGATATCTGCAAAACTCAGCTCTGTAAAATCTATGAAATTGAACATTCAGGTGTTGAAGGCTGAATGAAGCCTACAAAATCTTTATTTGTATTATTACAATCTATATTGTAAAATAGTGGGAGAAATCTTTATGCTGGGAGCAGGAGGTAGATTCTCTACCTGTATTTTTAGTAGGATCAAGTTAAAAAACCCCCACATTTTGTTAAAGCCTGGTTTTGAAGTGTTCTTTCTTTTTTTAACTTAGCTATTATTGGATTATATTTTCATTCATTAAATGTGAAAATGGGAAGTATGTAACCAAGGTAACAATGATGTCCCTGGAGAGTATCCAAGTGCACAAATCTCACGTTCACCATCCTAAACCAAGCTGTACCTTGACTGTAACCTGCCCTCTTCCCATCATTTGTGAAACAAGATCTCACCAGCCAGGACCACATTTTGGGGAGGACCTGCAAGAAAAGGGGGCAGCTGAATGTTACCCAATACAGGTATGTAAAGATGTTACTGCAGCTGTGTGCCAGGCACATCAAAACCATGACGTGTCTGCAAATGAATCATCTTGGAGTGAACACTCCTGGCTGGAAGCAACATAACTCACTCCCTCCCCATCAGCTCACAGAGTGTGAAACCTGACAAGCAGTCACAGCAGTGAGTGAGGCATGTTCTTAGATGGTCAGAGGCAGATTGGATGTGTCACAGGGCAGCACACTATGTTTCTAACTTAGGACACAAAAGAACAAATCTTGCTGTGCACCATTATCCCCCCATCATATTGCCCCCCTTCTCTGATTCACTTCTGTGAGTCTTTCCTAATCAGAGTGAGAAAAATGCAGTATCAGATGGTGCAGATAACCATAATACCAGTGAGGCATTATCAACAGGGCAAAACAAGTAGCTTCAGTTCTGATGCATTTGCAGACCACTTCTGTCTTTAAGCAGACTATGAGAGAAGGCCTTTGCCAAGCAGAGCGGATTCAAAACTCTGCAATTAAATTTCTGAACTATTTTTTTGCTGAAAGTGCTTGCACTTAGACTTGCTGTAATACCAGGCCCTGCTGTGACTCTAACCACAGCTGCCTGACAACAGATAACCATATTAACAAGCAACAAGCTTATCTGACAAATGGCTTTTCATCCAGTTTTTTGTTTGTACTTTAAACATCCTGAGTCCTGTGAGTCATTTTGGTATCAACAACAGACTGGAGAGTGAAAATAGATCGCTTATAGGGTTTTTACTGCTTTCTGCAGGAAAAAATGCCTCGAATGGTATCTTGTGCTTCTTATCTTCTCCTTTCCCCAAATATTGCTCCTCCATTTCTTCAATCAATTTTTACAGTCTTATTTCCATTTCTTCCCACTATACCACCTCAGTCCAGTTCCTGTCTGGGCACTCCTCCAGATGTCTTGCAGTTTTAGGATCCCTTTACTTGCTCCTGGAACCAACACATGTGAGTAGATGAGTATATTGATGAGCACGTAAATCCCTTTTTATAAGTACTTCTGCCCCCACAGTATTCCTGTTTATGATGACGATTCATCATTCTCTGTGTTGCAAAATTCTCCTGGGTTGCGTCTGGAGGCTAAGATGGAGATGAGAACAACCTCTTCCCTCTGAAATAATCAACAACGAGTTGAATACATTACTAGAGGTGTAGAGATGGGCTTGTTATTCAGTCCTTGAGCATTCCCCCTTCAATTTCCATTACCTTTTCCAAATAACTCTACGTGTTGCTTTGGAGCTTTTTCCATCCGTAGGCTTCACGTTTCCAGCAGTATTTAGCAGTGGTGCCTGGGTGCGTATTTTGGCCCATTATTAAAGCCCCAGGGTTTCCGAGTGCTCCGGACGGAGCGGGGCAGAGCCGCGCCCGGCGGGGCGGGGCGGGGGCGGCCGTTCCTGCCGGGAAGGTGCCGGTGGCCGCCCCCCGCCCGCCCGCCCCCCGCGCTCCGCCCCCGGCGCTGCCCGGGCTCGGGGCGGGCTCGCTCCGGCGGCAGGGAGCGGGCACGGGGCACCGCAACTTCGGCAGGATGAGCGTGGATAACCAGGACGTGCTGCTGGATCTTGAGGGGGAGGAGGAGGAGGAGGAGGAGGAAGATGATGATAACGATGATGGGGAGATCGGTGAGTGGGGGCTGGCGCGGGGAGGGTTCCCCCCGACAGCGGGCTCATCGCGGGCGGTGTGGCTCGGCGGGGCTCGGCCAGTCCGTGCCGGGGCCGCGGGCGCGGAACGCACCTGGCCGTGCGGGCTGGGGCCGGCCGGGGCCGGGAGCCACCGGCAGACAGCGAGCCGCCCCGCCACTCGCCTCCTTCCGCCAAAACTACTGAGCGTTTTTCCGCGGAAAATTCGGGATGTCTTTGTCCCTGCGGGCGGGTGTGCGCCAGGTGTGGTTGCCTTATGGAGCGCCGTGGCGATAGTCCCGCTTCAGTAGCATCGGCACGGCTCAGTGGGCGAGAAGCACCGAAAACTTTGCCCGTTCTTTCCCTGTGAGCTGAGGGAAACGCGTGAGAGGGGGCAGAAGCAGCGCTTTGCAGGGAGCGCGGTGCCGGAGACCTTTGGGGCGGCAGTGACCTCCCAGCGCGGGCACAGCCCGTGTCCCGGTGCCTCGGTCCTTGGGAAGACACAAAGGTGCCATCCCCGTGCCTCGGTCCTTGGGAAAACACGAACGTGCCATCGCTCCGGCCGCCCGGCGCTCGGAGCATCCCTTTGCTGCCCGACTGGCGTGCCTTGACTGGACACCGAGCTAAGCAGAAGGGTAATCACAGAACGGCTTGGGATGGAGAGAGCTTGAAGATCATCCAGCTCCAGCACAGCTGCCATAGGCAGGGACACCTTCCAGCAGACCGGGTTGCTCACAGCTCCATCCCACCTGGCCTCAAACACAGTCAGGGAAGAGGCATCCACAACTTCTCTGGGCAGCCTCTTCCAGCGCCTCACCATCCTCGCAGTAAAGAACTTTTCCCTAATACCTAATCTAAACCTACCCTCCTTCAGTGACACCACTCCCTCCCCGCAGAACAAAACACGCAACAAAGCAAAGTAAAATGTAAGGAGGAAATTGGCAAAGCAAAGAAAGATAGTGATTTTGCTGGGGGGAAAAAAGGCATATTGTGTCTGCCAGAAAAGCAGATATTAAAATGGACAGAGAGTTTTATATTCAAAGTGTATGTTAGTCTTGTTCCAATGCCAGTAGCCCAGGACAATGACATTGTATTTACTGTGGGAATGAATTCTATTAAAGTATTTCCAGAAAACAGCCCAAAAAGGGTTGTTTCTCAGCTGGTTCAGACTGAAAGGGTCTGTTCATTTCACTGAAGAGACACAGATTTACTACAGTTCAGAAGCTGTTTTTCAGATGCAGTAGCCAAGATATTCTAAAGCCTTTTATTTCTAGTTCACTTGTTAAAATAAATCTAACAAATAAAGAATGCAGGCAAAAGTCAGTTAGACAAGCAAGTAGAAGCTGGATCTGTATATGTAAATTTTAACAAATAAAAAGGGTTTCTGCTCATTATTTTTCAAAAGGCTGTGAATGTTTTTGCTGAAAAGCACATATTTTTGATGATTTTTTAATATTTGGTCTGAATTTCTGCATTTTTCAAAAATTTTAGTGACATTAACTCTCTCTTTTTCATTGCCTCCAAATATTAATGCTTAATAATGGTAAATACAGTCTGCCACATTTGTTCAGTTAGCTCACTCCAGAAGTGCATAAAGTTTGAGCCTCACCCAGTGTCTGAGGAAATCAGGGAATGTCTTTCCTTCAACATTATTAGCCTTTGTTTCAGATGGGAGTATCCCTTGACTTACAGTAATAGTCCAAAGACAAATCCAGTTTTCCATATGAAGTGCAGCAAAGGTATTGTTTGACTCCACTCCCTGAATTTAAAGGGTGGATCAGCACTGCAGTGTATTAATCAACAGCTGTCTTTTCCATTCTTCACTCCAGAGAACCACTGATTTTTTTCCTACTCATAACTCTTTATCCAACTTGGGGATAGTTCAGCTCTCACAGCCAGCAAATCATGAGTTTCATATACTGTATACAACAGTTGGGAACAACTCATGCTATGTGGCAAAATTGCCTAAAAATTGTGCAGTGATGATTTCATGAGTTGTTGTGTTATACAGAGCCTGTTACACAGCACCTGGCTTTGTCACATTTGCTATTCTGCCTTGCAAAATACATGTGTAACTGTCTTAAGGTTTTTATATTAGGTATAATTACAGGAGAACTATTTTATTAGTATGACAAATATATTAATCATCCATTTACCTCCAGTTTTTTTTTGCCACTTGCATCTGCAGTTTTCCCAAGGACATCATCCCTGGTTCAGTAAGTAAGCAGGATTTCTGAATTCTTTCCAGTTCTATTCAAGGTTAATCCAAAGTGTTTATATCTCATCAGAAAAGCATTATTATGGAATGTCAAGGTTTGCAGTCATGGCACATAAAGGGAGCGATCTGTCTCATTTTGGCATACAGTTGGTTTTGGTTGTCCATGCTGATGGCCAGCAAGCCACTCATGTCAGAGGCAGTGTTGGGCAGGCATCCAGAGAGAGAGCTGTTCTCGAGTCTCAGTCCACAGGGAGGTACCAGAGCTGCTCTGCCTGTTGTTCAGAGCTTTGACACTAATTGTTTGGATCAGAGTTGTGCTTAGGGAAGAAAGTCTTGTCCTAAGGTTAGACTTTTTGGCAAGTTGCAACTTTTTCTTTCCAATGCTTAAACAAGATGGACAACTTTTTCATTTGGACTTAGGCTGTTTTCAAGAGGATTTTTACATCAGTGGCATTTTTTTCCCCTTTATAATTTATTCTTTCCCTAGTGCAAACCTCACACCATATCCAAATTGATTTGCTTGTGTTTGAGGATTTACAGGATATTTGAGTATGCTTTCCAGAAAAATTAACTTGTGCATACAATATCCAGAGGCATTCCTCCTGATTACCCATCCAACAAGAAATGCTTTTGCTTTTGTCTTCATAGGGATATGTTAGCAACTTGCTTACGCCTTGTGGTCTTGGTTTTACTCAAATATATATCCTATTTGCTTCTTGAGCCTAGAGTCTACATCTTGTCATCTTTTGACACTGCTGCAATAATGACCAGACCATGCTTTATAGATGACCAAGAAAAGGATGTTCGTATGTCAGCCTTTTTCTTCTCACACAATGTGCTGATGAGGATTCAGGGGGAATTACAGCTCTTCTTTCTAAGAAGGCTTTCATGCTGTCGTTCTGGACACATTTTCAGCAACTACAATAAAAGTGTACAAAAGTAGTGGTTTATTCAAGCAACATAATAATTGTGGAGCCTAAGACAACCAGTTTTGTTCAGCCCACTGTACAGCTGGAGCCCTGCCCTGACGGGTGATGTAACCCAAATGGTGTAGAATAGCAATTCTTCACCTCCTTACTTTTGCTCACTGTTATGTTCTTTTGTTTCCTCATGGCATATACTGCATTTAATCATGCTGCCTGCCCAGAGCTTTTATTTTTTTCCATTTCAATAGTTCCAATAACATGATGTTCCTTGTATGACCCTACAAATATTGTTGATATCATATACTGTACTCCAATATAAAAATACAACATACCCGCAATGTCCTCCAAATTACTCCATTTTGCCTTCATGATTCTCTGAAATGGGCAGTTCTCTACAGAAGTCTTCTAAAGGCAATAGAAAGCCTGAACATTTAAATTCGTTTTCTCAGAAGTGTGGCCTTGTCCTGCAATTTATTAAGTATAATCTCCACCTTTGGAAAATTTCAAAGGGGCCAGATCTTATATTTTCTTAACACGCAAGACTTTATAAATAGATTCTTTTAAAAAAGTAGTTTTGTTTCTGAATGGACACTTTCTTCCTTTTCAGTCTGCCTACAGTAGTAGGGAGTAAAACTGCCCCAGTGGTGTCTTTTCACACCTGGTTTTCTTCTCTTTTGCTTCTCATACTTGCAATCAACTTAAAAAATGATTGAGGCACATTGCAATTCTCCATTCTCCTGAAGATGGCATAAACTGTCTGATGAGCTGAGAATCAATAATTTCTGCTCCCTGCACTCTGTTTGGGACCCTGCTCTTGTGTGTGGACACCTCATGTGTGTATGTTCCTGCAGAAACAAGCAGGAATGTAGACACATCGTCTCAGTTATTCTATTAAATTACTATTGGAGTTACTCTTGGGGCAGTGAGAAACTCCTCCTGGTGAGCTGGGACTTGCACAGGTTCAGGAAACACTGGAGTGTTACACTGGCCAACATCTAAACCACTTTTCATGCCTTCATGTCCTTTCTCTTATATCTTTTACACTGATGGTTTACCCACTTTTTTTTTGTCTCTTCATACTTCTGCACTTTTCTCTCCCAAAATTCTGCCACTTCACCTTTTGCAGAATCCAGGCCACAGATGATGACACAATCCAAGCCACACAATTACATCAATTGTCACCACATGTGGTTCCATTTGAAAGTACACTGCTCTTTACACTCACTTTTTAAGGCTGATTTAATTATCTTTCTGCAAAACTCCTAAAAACCAAATGCTGAGAATATAAATCTTTAATTGTAATATAATTACCAGTTTGCAGCTATTTATAATTCATAAATTCTGGAGGAGATCAGAGAATCAGGCGGGAATTTAGGAAATTTATACAACCTTCAAACATATACCGAATTTAAATCTATTTTTAAAGGGTTTTTACCATACCTGAATTCAAAGTTGTCTATTAAAAACTTCCTGTACTGTGAAAATATTCTTTCTTCCTGTATTGTGAATTTAGCTGTACTGAACATATGAGTGCATTTTACAGGTAAGTCTACAAACTGTAGGAGAACTAATTTGCCACTGTATTAGGTTGTGCAAATTGCACAACTTTAATGGTAATAGTTTTG